GTGGTCTCTGTGGGTTTAAGTTAAGATGGTTTAGCACTTTTGCAGGAGGAAGAGAGTGAGGATTATCAGTCTACTGAGAGGTCTTGTGTGAGCTATTCAAATTTAGAAAAGCAAGCTAAAGTGTCTGTGAATGAGCATGAATTAGGTAGTGAAACTTTAGGAAAAACTGAAGCAGGGATTTCTTTGTTATGGGAGTCCTCTGATTCTAAAAGAAACCTCCTGGCCAAAGCCTATGTGCCCTCGGGGACTGCAGCCTCCGAAGATGCAAAGTAGTGAGAAGCATCTAAGATACACGCAAACTTAAATCAGGTGAGAAGCAGTCAGAATGGGTTTCAGGCTGATGAGAAGATTTTAGGCAGAGCTGAAAAAAGTAAGCCTGAGTCAGAAGGGGACATAGTAAAAGCACCTTCACTTTCGAGGATAGAAAGAGGAATTGCAGAAGGCAGAGATTTAGAATTTAGAATGTCTTATCCTGTTAAGAGTTGTTAGCAGAAAGCCTTACGGGAAACACCCACAAGGCACTCACAGTGCCTTTCCCTTTAAGTTGCTAAAAGATCTCAAGCAGGCAGTCAATGATTATGTCCCAGACTCACATTTTGTAATTAGTATGATAAGGGCTCTAGCAGGGTCCGAGAGCTGGACCCCTACAGACTGGAGAGCTTTAGCGAGGATGTGTCTTTACTCTTCAGAATGTCTGCAATATCAAATGCTGTGGAAGGAAGCAGCCCTTTCACGAGCACACAAGAATTTAGAAGAGGGCATAGATATAGGAATTCATCAATTGCTAGGGGATGAAAATTGTATCACAGTTGAGTCTCAACTGCAGTTTACTGAACAGACAATAGGGCAGATAGGTGAAGTTTGCTTAAGTGCCTGGGAAAAGATAATTCCATCAGAAGAGAGAAAGCCGAGTTACAAGGCTATAAGACAGCGGAATGATGAGCCTTATGCTGACTTTGTGTCCCGACTGGAAGATGCTATTTCCAAATGTGTGAAGAATGTCCAGGCAGTAAGAGACCTAGTACATAAGCTATCTTATGATGATTTCTCTAATAAACAGTGTAAAGATGCCTTGCGTCCCTACAGGGAACATGGCACACTGATAGATTATCTCAGGATAGGCAGGAATGTGGAGACAGAGGAACACAAGGCCGACCTCATGGCAGTTGCATTGGCAAATTATGTCAGACCTAGAAGAAAGTGCGTTAGTTGTGGGAAACAAGGTCATCTTCAGAGACAGTGTAGGGAGAACAGGGTGCAGCCATCGAGATCGGGTTTAAAAGAACCTGAACTCTGTACCCGTTGTCGGAAGGGAACTCATTGGGCGAGCCAATGTCGTTCAAAATCCAGCAATGAAGGACTGCCACTAGCAAAGGTTTCCCCGGCGGGAAAATAGTGAAAGGAGCTTGATGCAGACCCCGCCTAGCAGAGCATGGGAGGCAAGGTGTCTGCCTGCCAGAGCAGAGATGTTAGAGAGAAACTGCAGGCATCCCCCAGTCTCACAGCAAGGGACCAGATCTAGCCAAACTTTCAAAAACCCAGCCTCTGCAGTTGGCTCGACTAACCAAGAGAAGGCTCAGAAACTCTCACAGCAGTTTGCTGATTCTAAAAGGCCAGAGCCTCTTATTGAAAGAGTAATAATACAATTTCTATTAGGAAGTTTTAACCTAAGCACTCAAGGAATTAACATTGCTACTGGAGTTGATCAGAGTTGTGAGGAAAAGCCAAAATCTGTGATTAAATCAGAAATTATTAAGAGCGGTAATTGGAGTCTGCTACCTAAAAGAACTATAGGATGTTTATTAGGAAAGTCCAACGTAAATTCTCAAGGTGTTGCTGGAATTATTGGTCAGGATTATGAAGAAATTAAGGCAGTGATGAAATCTGATATACCATGGTTTATAAAGAAGGAAGATTTTTAAAGCCAATTTTTGCTTCCTTGCATTCCTAGAGTTAAAAGTTACAACTATCAGGAAAGAGTAATTAAGAAGTCTAACCACCCTTTAAATCAAGGGGTCTTTTGGAATGCTGTTGTGGGGAAACAACAGTGCCACCACATGGAACTAGAAATTGAAAAGATTTTTAAGCTCTGGATATGGGGTCCTTGCCTTAAGACATTCAGGAGGGCCTAAGACCCTCCCATTAACTTCCCCTAAAGTCAGCATGGAGGGAATGAGTGAAGTTAACCAAGAGAGACTATTTCTGTTTTTTTGGGTTTTTTTTTAAACATTTTATTAGGGGCTCATACAACTGTTATCGCAATCCATACACACATCAATTGTGAGAGACTATTTCAGGATTGTAAAATCATACAGTGTAAGAAGCCTGAAGGGCAAAGAGGCTTAATTGAGCCTGTAACCTTACTGGTAAATTTGGAGAAAAAAATGTCTGTTTGGTAAATTACTTAAAGAACAGCTAAACAAATTTATTAAGAATTTTTTCAGTCTTTCAAAGTATGGTAAGAAGTTCTCCCAATTAGTTAGCTCCCTTAATTCTCTGAGGGCTGGGAGCCAGTATTTACATAACAATCAGGCTAGCTAACTAGCAGTTTTACTGGGTCAAAGCCTAGCAAGTTAACTGAGATTGCTAGCTGTGCTTTGAAATCTAAATTGTTAAAACAGAAGGGGGAGAAGAGCAAAGTTCATTTAGTCATTTTAACCAAAAGAATGTGCTCCTTACTGAAAGCTTGTACCAAAACTCGGGCAGATAAACACTCAAGATGATGGAAACCGTGTTTGGGATCCAGGTCCCCTTGTCATGTTTTTGCAGAATAAAGCTGATGGACTCCCTTTAGAAGGACGCAACCACGTTTGGAGAAAGATGGACAAGAAAGAGATGGAAAAGCCGCCCAATCTTAATCATAATTCCTTTTTCAGGTTAATGACACCCCAAAGAGAGGGGTTATTTGTTTATATTTTCACAGGCAAAGGAGATAGATGGATTTCTCTTCCACCGGCAAGGCCCAGAAGAAAGCAGGGAAGCTGATGTGTGACCTGACACCCCCCCCACCCCCGTCCTGTTACTGAAGTTATTCAACTGTCAAGAAGACTTCACAAATTCCTGAGAACGGCGATTGCTGTCTGCTGAGATATTTCAACCATTGCTGACCCTGTCTAAGGGACACTGCGACTCTTTATCAAATCTGATCATTTTATACAATAGTGACTGAAAGAATACTAAGAATGTTTTGCTGAAAGATCAAGATTTTGTACTTGTCAATGCTATAATGTGACTGGAATATAACTGATTTCTGTGT